AAATTCCTTCGGAATGAAATATTAGGTGTGTGCATTAATTTCCGCCGTTTTTAGCATGCAAAAACATATTCATTACGAAATTAAATTCAAATGCACATTAACCAATGTATTGGCCATCGTTAGCAACAACATCTTGCCATCTTTCTGGTATCTTGTTGACTCTTCGTCTAAAAAAGTCTTCATCATTTGAGGCAATCCAGTCATCCGTCTATTTTTGCACTTCTTCTGCACGCTTCAGAAAGAGCAAGATCCGGAGAGTATGCGGGCTGAACAAGCTAATCCCATCCAGCAACAGCAATCTTTTTAAGGACATTCTTCGCAACATGGGGTCTGGCATGTTCGCGGTGGAACAGCACCTCATGATATTTTCTTGCGATTAACGGCCGCTTTTAGGTGAGAGCATCCTCTGACAAGTTGGTGTTCGTAGCGGTCAGTAGTAACAGTTTCGTTCGGGCTCAGCAGCTCATAGTACACAACACCCTTTTAATCCCACCACCAAATGCACAGCATTACTTTTTCGCAATTCCGCTTTCGTTGCAGACTCTCGATTGAAGAGAAGCCATCTCAGCAGGTTCGTTTAGATGGAGCTTGTCCCCTATAAGTATCGAACAGCATCCTGTTGGCCTCGATGCCAGTTTTCTTGAAATCAAACAGCAGGAAAAGGGCCCTCCGGGAAAACGGTTTATCACGTTCCATGACCAATCAGTCTGAGAGCAACGGGGTTTTGGGGAGAAACTGATCTGTCTGCCTTTAGGTAGGTAACCAACACCCTATCTTACAGAATATGACAGGTTTCACCGGTAAACCTCTAATATAGTTTGCGCAACGACCCTTCGAAATCGGCGGCGGAAATTAATGCACACACCTAGTAGTAGTAGTAGCGAAAAAATTTCCTGCTCCGGATCCTGCGCTCAATCAGTCCTCCGAAATGGAATGTGACGGCGCTAGATAATCTTCGAGTTGTAAGGCGTACCTGCTGTAATCGCGGCTCGCTCTGAATCTCCGATGCATCATAAATGGACGGGGTCGAGACACCTGGCCCTAAGCCCAAGCCTCTCGTGGACGGAGCTTCGGCAAGTTTACGCATGCGTGACGAGCACGCATGCGTAAACTTGGCCACTCCTTTTATTTTTTCTGGCCTTCACGCCTTCGCTGAATCGCGTTATGAACTTATATGAAAAGTATTGTCCAGCGCGAGTGCTCTGCCCTCCAACCTAGTGCACCTACTGGGCCATTCCCGACCACAGAGGGAAGGGTTCCGCTGAGCTCGCATTTGCCCAGTGTGTCTCGGCCCAATGCTCAACCCAGTCCAAATTTGACCCGTCCTCTCCAGGTGTTCCTTCCGGTAGTTTCGAATTCTAGTGATAGACAGGCAGACAGAAATGCATACATACAGACAGACAGTACAGACAGAAAGACGTGACCGCTTATATATCCTTGGTAAAACTGTTTGTTTCCTTTTTTGATTGCTCAGCCGCGATAATAGCAATCATGAAGTAGAATTAGCATTCTTATATACTACCTCACCACTTCCAGAGTATGCTAAACGCAGAATGTGTCGTCAATACTTGACGCGGCATGTACCTCGTGGATGCGGAAAAACTCTAGTATTCTTTCATACTCGCCCACCCTACTATGAAATAAACGAATATGGGCGGGACCTGAGCATGACGGGACACCATTCATCGTCAAAGGATGATAAGTAAAGATAGCGACATGCACTTCCCAACAACACTGATGGACTGCTGCAACAGCTGAGCTTGTCTACGATTCGCGGGCCGAGCAAGAATAGCCTGCACATGCATTGTAATATTCGATGCTCAGCGCGCTGGTATCCATGTTCAAAAAAGTTTATTCAGTTTTTCATTTTTTCCATTCTTTCTCTTGTAGAGTAGCCGATTCATCTAGTTTTTTCTTTCAATCTCCTCCATCTCTCTAACAGCAGGTTTGCGGAGTTTCCTGCTGTGTATAACGCGCTGTGTCTGGGTGTGTGTATGTATGTATTTGTGTTTGTGCCTATGCGTGTGTATGTACAGTGTGAACCAAAATTATGGGTGCCAAAATTCAGAAATTTCTAGGGTAGGAATAATCTACCAAATTCACTTTACGTGCTATTATTTGGTTGATCCCAATATCTTTTAGATGGAGGAGGCTCATTCAATGCCACTTGCAATCATTGATATGCGAGAGGTGAAGGGCATTATGAAATTCCTTGGGATTGTAATAAAAACCGTACAGGAGGCTATACACGATATAGAAAATAAGATTGAATCAGAAACAAACCACGAATGGTAGAAAAGCCAATGTTTCTAAAGATAGGACTATTAAAATGGTCCATCTGCCAGTCGGTCGGGATCCTGGGTAACCCATTGAAAGGAAGTCAACGGGCGCGCATTATCGGAGTTATCGCGATAAAAGTATGTCATGCAGAAGCTTCATTGCCATTCCTATCGTTTGCAGAAATTTCGCTTCAATTCCTATCTCAACAGACACTGCAAAGCCAAAAAAATCCAGAAATTCGCAGGCCCACTTGAGTGATGACACGCAATCCTTCATCGTTTTCTCTGGCCAAAATATTTTTTACGATAAAACCATCCCTCAACAACTAAAACGTTCGCGTTCTGGAAAGAAACATCTAACGTGCAATCTCTCACAAAAAGGTTGCTATAAGAACAGTAAAGTGATGTTTTTCGAGTCACTGGCAAGGGTAAGACGCTCGTGGTTTCGTCGGGGCAGGTGTGAAAAATGACCAGGATCATTACTCAAAGAGCGTACTGATGGACATAATAAAATACTGATCCGACTACGTTTCCTGAAACATCTCGTCCTTCCAGGAGAACGCTACACCAGTCCATAGAGCCAAGCTTGCCTGCAAGTGGTGCTGACGACAGCTGCTCGACTTCATTGGTGAAGAGAAATGGTCATGCTATTTTTCAGATCTTGACTCAGTTGACTCACTGATTAGAAGAGGACCTGTCGAGTTTGCAATCCCAGATTGGAGTCTTAGAAGGCAAGATTGAAGAGCGGCTGGGAAGAAATAGAGAAGGATACCTGCGTGCAACATGCGATCAGGTCGAGAGCAAACTTCGGGCCTCTATCCGCGTTGATGAGGGGTATTTTGAAATGTTATTGTAGCATGTTGTAGCAAATGGTGTTAGCTAATGTGCATAGAAATTCCATTGTCTTTCGCAGCTTCAAATATATTGCTATGAATTGGAGCCCATAATTTTGGGACACCCTGTTTGTGCGTGTGTGTTTGATCGGAAATTCATGACCCCTGTTCCCGTGGGCCAGGAGAGATCAGATTTGGAAGGAGTACAAGCGGAAGGGTGGGATCATTTATGGTGGTGCAGGACCAGATTCCGCCCACAGGGCGGGGATAGCGCGAAATGTTGAGCGGAAATCCGTAACTCTTGTTCCCGTCAGCCTAGAGAGTTCAAATCTAATAGAATTACAGGCGACAGGAAGGGAACACATATGGTGGGCGGAAGGACCGGACTACACCCACGAGGGCTGGGTTAGCGCGAAATAAATATCCGAGCGGAAATTCATAACTCCTGCTACCGTTAACTCAGAACGTTTAAATTCAGTAGAAGTAGAGGAGGCAGGCGAGGAGCACCGATAAACTCGGCACAACTAGACCCCTTCCATGGGGGGCGGAGCGTTAGCGGAAATAGTTAATTCGGACCCAGGATTTTTAAATTCGGTCGGAATGTAGGCGGCAGTAAAGGTAAACTGATGCAAGTTGGTAGGAAGTGACTGAGCTTGACGCCACCTGGAGGGGGGGGGGGGGGGGGGGGGGGGGGGGGGGAGGGAGGGAGGGGTGTGCGACTTTAGTCACGACTGACAGTACTTCGCGTCGAGGTGCGAAGTGAACCTTATCTTATGAGAGTGACCTTGATCATAACTAACCTTATCTTACTTATGAGAGTGATGGCAGTGATGAGAATAGTGAGAAAATCAAATTTCAAGAAAAGTAGTTTTTCAACGTAAAATTTCCAGTCTTTGGTTTTAAAAGTTCTATTACCGTACGGAACAGGCAACCTCCACCAATGCAGCTCGAAACCGCACCACAACCATTATACTATGCTGCAGCCTTCGCTCCGCTTCCATTATTGGAATTTTTTGTTGAATTTTCTATCATCTTCCATGGTAATGAAACTTTTTAAACCAAAGACCATGAAAGTTTTACGTTAAAAAGCTACTTTTCTTGAAATTTGATTTTCTCACTATTCTCATCATTCCCATCACCCTCATAAGTAGGATAAGGTTAGTTACGATCAAGGGGAGGCGCGTAATTAAGATGAGGTTAGTTACGACTGCGGTCACTTCGCACCTCGACGCGAAGTAATGTCAATCGTGACTAACATCCCACACCCCGGAGGAAGGCAAGTGGAGGGATAGAGCGAAACGTGTGAGAACCGAGCGCAATTTATTTGAAAATTCGAAATCAAGTTGGAGTAAGTCGGGAATGAATAGAGTTACGCAAACACACGTCTTGAGGAAGACCACGCTCATGGCGGGCGGTGCTCGCGCGAAATGGGTCGGGTGTTGGTGCGTGGGTTCGGCAGGAAACTAGTGGCTCCTAGTCTCCCGGTTTAGGGAGTCTAAATATGGAGGTGGAAAATATGAAAGTGTTGCAGGCGTTGAGACAATTTGAACATGTAAAGGATGGCCCTCAGGATGACTGATATGCTAAGAAGGCGCAATAACAGATTGAAAGCTATCCGATAATAGGCATTGATGGATCGGCATACTCATATCTATTGATGGCTTCGAACAGTCATTAATTTATACTTTTTCAGGTCATTTTTGTTTAACCCATTGACGACCGCGTGGCCCCCCGGCGGGCCACGCCAGATTGTGCTGGTGTAGTATTTATGTTATTTATCAAGTGTTCATATGATTTCCCCATGTTTTCAAGTATCAGCTGAGCTCACAGCCCTTCAGAGAATCTTGACGCATTGTGATCCAGGAATCATTCATTTCCAACTAGAGTTATGAGAGAAATTAAAAGTCAATGGAAGGACAATATAAAAGGCGCGGTCGTCAATGGGTTAAATGGCTTGATTTTTACGATCTCAGGAATAACGTCTGTTCTTGGTGGTGCACTCAGTTGCAGTAATATGCAAACTATAAGACTTACTTCACTTTACTTCCGCAGATTACTTCAAGAAATCCAAAGTTCATCAATCGGCATCAGATGTAAAGTAATTAGTGAATCTTTCCAGCACGGATATTGCCCTCGAGCAGTGTTTTGCGCGTTCGCTCATCATGATTCGGAACTTCACGTTCAAAGAACGCCGTACGTCACGAGTACCCAAGCCAGTCCAAAAGAGCAGTCCAGCCCGAATACGAATGGAGGTACCTCTTTTTTCCCATGAGCAGAATATTGGTTATGATACTGACAATCCTTTTTTTGTACACTCGACCTCCACCCAAAGAAATACTAATACTGGTTTTCGAATAGGGATTAGGCTGGTTCGTCCATTAATAGGGAAGATGATAAAAAATGGTGAAATGGTTGTATCTGCCCGAACGAGCTGGTGCTAAGTAAGTGAACTCAAGAGATAAATGGCATTGATGATTTAAACGAGCATCGGAGCGGGATTTTGTTTTGGACACAAATTGTACAGGGTGGCGAAAAATTACGTGCGCCATAAAGAACGCTCAAACTTTATTATTTGTATACCAACATGGGAAGAAATATATTTCCTTAAAACAACAAACAATGACATTACGTATCCACAACAAGTTTTCAAAGTGCCCGCCTTCTGCTTTGATACAGGCTTCGATTCGTCTTTTCGCCGAAACCACGGTGCGCCGGAGGTAGTCGATGTCCAAACTGTCCCAGATTTTCGCACTTCCTTTCGCAAAGCCACCAAATTTTTCCAGATTCTATTCCTTAGTTCTTCTTCCATGTTTCCCCAAACAACGAAGTCCAAAGAATTCAGATCTTGGCTATTAGAAGGCCACAGATCCTTCGTCAAAAAGGGGATCATCTCGGTCTCGCGGAAGTGATTGGTGGATCTCGCTGCATGGGCCGGAGCCCAGTCTTACTGTAGGTGAAGTTGGGATGATTTCTCTTCCAGGATAGCACAGCTTCTACAAGGATTTCTTTTTATAGAACGCATCAATTTTCAAATCAACTGAGTCTTGCCTGATGCACTGATACCACTCCAAACCATTAAACTTTTGCGGAACAAACTTCTTGTGGCAATTCTTCTATTCCGGATGTTCTTAAAGGCACTGTTCACGAAAAGTGGTTTCGGAGATTTGCACATGGTTTGAATTCGAAGCCCCCTCTGATACCATGTGTGCAGGAATGAGGTCGGAAAACGGCTGGATAGGGCACAATAAAGGCAGGAACAGTGGGGGACGGGAGGCCTCCGCCCCTCGCTAAGCTGACTACGAGTTCTATTTGTCCTTCACCACATTCGCACTGGAGCGAAGTTGGTGAAAAGTCGATAAGCTGGTTGGCAAATTGCCAGAGACGCAATGTGTTGCCTGCTATTGCAGACAACACATTGCGTCGCCTTCGTGCACTCGCCCGAACACTCCCTAACCGCCGTTCTTCCAATGTGAAACTCGTCCAACCCCCTTTCCAGCTCTTTTTTTGACCCTTTGTAATACTTTTTGTTCATCGTTTTTTGCGCTTTTTTCGTTGTTATCGCTTTATTCTTGAGTAGTTCTATCAATTCCCGTCAAAAAAGGGTACCCTAACTTTTTTGTGAACGGTGCCTTTAAAAACGGGACTAAATGTTGGCTTCGATTCTGAGGGTTTTGGCCACTTCCACGGTGAACACTTTTTGGAACAGTTTGGACATCGACTACCTTCCGTGCACCGTAGTTTCGGCGAAAAGGCGAATCGAAGCCCGTATCAAAGCAGATGGCGTTTGAGCGCTTTTTATGGCGCACAACATTTTTCGCCTGTATAAACACGTGAGATAGATAGAAAACCGATGTTGATATCGTTTCCTTTCATGTAGTGGCAAATTTACCGTTTCAGTAGCAAGGATGAGGATGAGAAAACCGGTTTATTTTATTCTCACAAATCACAAATGTTGTCGATGTGCTCTTTGGGAAGATTGAATGTGCTTGATAGATTGGCTGCGAAACCCAAAATGCAACTCTTGCCAGAACTGCTTGAATCATCAACACACGGTGCTTTATGGCAGAGTTCATCTTCCAATACATTTCACCAATAACTTGTAGAGACACCGAAACTAGTAAAATAGGCCTTCTTTTCCTTCGCTAGAGGTTCTTTGAAATCACTAGAAACGTTTCCTCACAAGAAATCAAGAAGTAATAAGTTGAATGCACTTAGGTGATTCAATGCGGTTTGGATCGCCCATCTCGAACGGAACGTCGGCGCCTTCGTACTCGGTCTGTCACTGTGCTCTAATACTTAATTTATTCTGCTTTTATCAAAAGATTTACGAACATGTAACAGGATGGTTGTGGGAAGTATGGTTAATGAGCTATTTACCGAAAAAGCAAATGCACCGCCGAGCGGCCAACGTTCCATGTGGTAGTATTGAGTTGCGCCCTTGGAAAAAGCTTACTCAACGTCTAGTTATTTATGCTTGAATAAACAAATAATTGATCGATAACCTCGCACAAAGAGGCCTACCGAATGCGTTCCGGTGCTAGGGAAATTTTTATCAGTCGTCACAGTGACGCGCTGGCGCTAAAGCACAGAAACCGGGACCGAGAGTCCGTAAGGAAAGTTTTTTGCTCGGTAGCCATGCCTTCGGTTGGATAGAAATGGGCTTCACACTGAGGGGGCCTAGACTTACATGGTCGGTCATTGTGAGGGAATATTTATATTGCACTTGTTACTTCGTGCTTTTGGCGTTTATCCGTTCTGTAGATCTCGGGACTGCTTTGGCATTGGCAGAGCCATCCTCTGATTGGGATTATCAATTTGTATCTACACCTTTCCATCCAGTGAAGAGTTGTGTACTAAGCGAGAAATCTAAATGACGGCAATAGCTTAACACATATGTAATAGGGCAGGTGTGCAAAAGTTGTCATCGGTAGACTGAGTGCTTGTAGTGTTTCTCATCTTCATTTTGCGTCTAGTCATTCGAAAACGCTCCAGCGCGATTTGTTTATCGGCACTTAACTGTACTTGTGTTTACAAACTTGCTACCGAGCTCAGCTTTTTCGTACTTTAGTTTTCTGATAAACAGTTGTTGCGCGAATTGTTTCCAAAACCATTCACATGATGTTTTCAAATACTGATCTTAAATCCACCCTCCAACTTTGCTAAGAGATTGGGTGCTTTCACTGTTCAACGACGTGCATTGTTTTAACTGACCGCCCCAATGACGGCGTTGCTAGCCACGTGTTGTCAACGTGGACACCGATCGATACCGCACGTCGGCGGCGGCGCACACGCTCCCGTGGCTCCGAACGCAATCTATCCTGCGTTGTCAACAAATGGCCAGTAATGCCACCGGTCTCTCGGTCAGTTGAAAAAAAGCGCGTCGGTGATCTGAAAGCATTTCGGCAAAAAAATTGGGGAATCGTTTTTCCTGTGTTGTACCACTGTGTTAGGCAAAAAGGATAGAGACTACATCGTGCTGTGATGGCGAGGGCGCATGGATCTAGAATCCTTGGAGCAGATGTTCATTTTGCTTTTTTTTTCGCTTCATGTTGATCATAGGCACACAATAAGACGTTTTCTCGCTTTCACTTAAAGAAGAACTGCACCTCTACTTGCAACACTCAGGATGGTGTTACGAAATCCTGGGCAGCTCCATGCACTTTTTACTGCGCGGTAAGTCATTCAAAGAGTGCCTTGAGTGAGGAAATACTGTTCTCTTTTTTGAAGTCAGATGTGCTATGTGACATATGAAATGAAGTTTTCGTGAAAAATACCATTAGAGCAATAGGGGAGCAATTCATTACACAGACAGTCACTTAGTAATTGTTGGAGAGCCCTTCCCTTGAGGTAAATGTGATAATGCGGATGGACGCAACAGCAAAGCTTGACTTGAATCCCTGAATCCATCTGCTAAGCCTTTATTGTTGATCTTCAGATTCTGTGAATATCATTGTCTGCAATGAGGCTTCCATATTCGTTTTTGCGATTACTTTTCAGTTTCTCCGCTCATTCCATTCCCCTCTCTGTTACCTTAAATTCCTTGCTAGTAGGTAACCACATAATGTCGGAAACAGCGGATTCCTCTAATAAGTCTTAAACACCAGCTACAGGTAGAACTCATCGCTGATAGTATGTCAGACATGTTGAAGGGTTTCCCATCCAGTGAATGATGTGGCTCCTCTCTGCCGAAGACTTGACTTGGGCATCACTTTATTCGACAGGATGGAGATAAAGAAACTTTTTCCTTAAGTGTATTCCCGTATTTCACAAATGTGAAGGGCTGTCATGTGTGATGTGGAGGCATTTTGCAACCCTTTGAGACATGCTTTATGGAAAGAAGCAAAACGACCGTATGCATTAGGGATGCGAACCTCCATGCCCCTCCTGCGAATTCGTCGACCTACCCACTGCGCCTCCGTTGCACAATGTGATGACTATTCGGTCCACCCATGTTTGCAACAAAGTGGTATAACTCGAGTGAACGGCTCCATCAATTTGCTCCCATAATCGTTGACGAGATTTGGAGGAAATGAGATCATTTGAAAACATTTATGCGGTATACACTCATCTTGAATGGCCACTACGACCTAGCATCCTTCTCTCGTTAGTCATCATCCTTAACATCGCTATGACCTAACATTAGTAAAGAAAAGTGGGTTTTCCGTCTCAAATCAGTTCTTGTGAAGATACAGAACCGGTCAGTGAAGTATGCGTTTACAATTTTTTAAACGTAACTTCTGCAAACTTCAACCTTTCGGCGGGAAACTTAAACAGCACGTAACTTGAACAGCTAGCAACATTGTACTTGCACAGCAGTCTAGCAGCGCACTTCCAACCGAAACTGGCGCTTAATTTTCAATTCTTGCTTCTTTGTGTCACGTCATGCACCTAGTACATCAATAAGCTTCCAAGGCACTCGGAAATCTGTAAGTCACGGCAAGGTCAAGTTGACGCCGTCATTCGGGGCTTCCTTGAAGCCTTAACATCCAGGCGAGTTTCCGAAATTCAAGGCGTGCCATTTGTGTGCGTACGAACGATTTGGAAGGAACACAAGGTCACAGGGTCAGCCGAAGTCAAAAATCATCCAGAGGCAGCGAGATTAACGCATGTCTTGTCGACAGAGAAATTGTGCAGCGTGCCACAAATGGCTCGGGTCAGAACTTCTCGCGAAATCTCGACGCCCGAGAGAACAATCTATCCGTAAACACTGTTCTACCTCTTTCGAAAGTGGTCGGTCTGTTTGGACGTCATCCAGCAAATATGCCGCTAATTTCTGCCAAAAATCGCAAAGTGCTTCTCGATTGGGCTTATGCTCACAAAAGCTAGGTGATTCAGCAGTGGCGTAAGACCATCAAAAGCAACAAACCCAAGTTTTTGCTGTCCGACAAGGATGAAATCAAGTTTGTGTGTCGTCCAATCAGTGCCAGATCCCATGCAAGACACCAGCTGCCAACCGTGAAATATGGCGGGGGTACAGTATTGGTTTACCGCAGCTTCTGTGGCAAAGGAGTGTGCCCCCTCTGAAGTATCGAGGGTAAGATGGATCCAAAATGTGCACCAACATTATGAAGGCTGTTATCTATCCTTTCATTCGCAGTATTGGCCCCGGTCACTTAATTTTCCAGCAAGGTCATGACCTGAAGCACAAATCGAAGCTGCTCACCAAATGATTCCATTCCTCTGCTACCGTGGCCGTTGCAATCCTCAGATCTGAGTCCTACTGAGCATCTGTAGGATTGTCTTTGGTGTCAAGTTAAAAGCCATTGAGCCCACAACAAGCACGACAAGCTCCTCAGTTTAAGACCATATGGGAGAACATCCCTCAGGAGGGGATCGACAAACTCATCAAGTCCATGCCAATTATGGAGCTTAACCCTTTCTTTGACTAAAATCTTTCAAAATATTCCACAATTAACTTAGGCTACTGAAAACTCGCTCTCTGTTCACATGCAGTGATAGGCACTCACAGTGGAAAAACCAGATGTAAAGATGCTGTTTCGAAGAAGTTACGTTTGAAAAAGTGGAAACTGATACTTCACTGACCAGTACTGTGGGTCTCTTGTACAACTTCAACATTGAATTCAATCTAGCTCCTTCTGCCACGGGTTTTTTACTCACACATTGCGATTGAAGGATGTGAAACCTGCGGCTTCTAGAACCTTCGTCGATTTCATCATTTCGAAGTTATCGTGGTGTCTCTGCAGCTTCAAGTTATCGTGGTATCCAATCTTGTGAATAAATGCGTAAATGCGTTCAACAAGTGTTGAGCTGATTTTCAATTTCGCGAGCAAGCTAGCAAAGTCCTTGACGGAAGCCTCAATTACCGTAAGCAATTCCCCATAGGCATCTTCCTAACCCTCGCTTCATGATTTCCTGTCGATTAGCAATGTTTATTAACTGTTGTGGTCAGGCTTCTTTTCTCAGTCCTGCAAAGCCGCGAAAGATAATTTAGAAAGAGAAAAGGTTCCAGTATACGGTGTTAACTCGTGAATGTAGAAACTGTTCGAGTCGCATGCCTGGCAGTAGGCTCCCCTCCTCTTTAAAAAGTTGTCATACCTGGCAAAATCTTGACATTCTTTATAGCAGTTCAACTCATTGTGAACTACCTAACAGTAAACTTGCATTTCATTATCTGGCTTACTCTCACTGATGTGAAATTCTCTTTCTCTTGCGTTTATTATTTCTCGTCGCTCGTAAAAGCTGCTCTTTTTGAAGGCACAGTTCACGATACTTTGGGTAATCCAGATTATGTGAAAAATGGAAGATAAGATGGAAAAGAGTGCGATGATGGCGAAGAAACTGCGTGGTTCGGTGTTTCCAAAGTGAAAAAAGACCCCGAGAAATCGTTAAAAAATGGGGCTGGACAAGAATGTGTTCAGGAAAATAAAGAAGAATGGGGCGTTTGAACGAGCTACACAATGCGTGTCATTGTGTACGCGTGGATCCTGGTGCGAAACTGACTACGGCAAGCAAAAATTCATCCAAGCATAAGCACGAGTTAACGAAAAAAAGTCTCTGGTGACAGCAAAAATAGCCCACTTTTCTCAGCCTCCTGAGGTAGAAAATTAGAATGAGGATCGCAGCAACAAAAAAATAACAGAATGAAAGAACGGGAGAAAAAGATGGCTTCATCACTCGGCGATCAGCTGATTGTATGTGGGTCTTAGAACGGATATTGCAATCTGTATCGTCTGACGTGACTTCGATAGAGGGGCGGGAAGTCCGGGCGTCCGGTAACAGGGATGCCCTAGCTTTTGAGTTTTGGGACTCGACAGTGTCCTTCCTGTTACCCTTGGGGGCCACTGCCCTGCACTAGGGGGGAAACTCAGAAGCCATTTTTATCGTGTTTTGTGCCTTCAACAATTCGGTAATCAGAAGAATTTCAACACGGCTCCACTGCTGACACGAACGGTTTGAACGATCAATTGACTCTTTCTTACTGTGGTCCCTTACCAGCTCCTTTTAGTTATTATTAGTT